GCCTTCCGGTGTGTCTACCACACCTCCCAGTTTGGTGTCATCAGCAAACTTGCTGAGGGTACATTCTAACTCTTCATCCAGGTCGTTGATGAAGCAGTTAAACAAGACTGGGCCCAGTACTGACCCTTGAGGGACACCACTAGTTACCAGCCTCCAACTAGACTCAGTGCCGCTGATGACAACCCTCTGAGTTCTGCCATTCAGCCAGTTCTCAATCCACTTCACCGACCACTCATCCAGCCCACACTTCCTCAGCTTCCCTAGGAGGATATCATGGGAGACTGTGTCGAAAGCCTTGCTGAAATCGAGGTAGACAACATCCACAGCTCTCCCTTCGTCTACCCAGCCAGTCATGTCATCGTAGAAAGCTATTAGATTGGTCAGGCATGATTTCCCCTTGGTGAATCACTACTCCAATAACTTTTCAAGACGTCCAATCATCACAAAGCCAAGTGGTTAGTGAGATCTACTTGAGCTACCATCTACAACTGAGGTGTTCCTGCATTTTGAATCCAAACGTCAGTCCAAGTTTGAGAACCTGTGTATGCACGGAAGTTTTGCAGATATGCTCAGGCTCATTAATAAATGTACGGCTGAACACGGCACACTAGCTATGGTCACTATATAGTCTACCAAATACTATAAAACACACTTCTACCTCTTTCCGGGCAATCTCTTGAAGTCGCCTGGGTAGGCGTTTAATATTGTGACTCATAGCTCGCCTTCGCATGTGCCTAGGTAGAGTCTGGAAAACTAGAGAGTTTGAAGACTTCTGCGCAACTGCTTTCAACATGGCATTGATCTCCGCAGCACGAGCTTGAGCAAAGGTAGACACTGGAATGAAAAGAACTTCATCAGAGCATGACAAACAGCAACAATCAAAGAAGGGGACACTTGTCATAGTTTAACCCAGCAGCTGGCAACTAAGCACTAGAGGGTGTTCCAAAACACATCGGCTACTGAGCAGAAAATTTACTCTATCTCAGCTGAAACCAGGACAACACTGTACATAAATTACTGAATTCCAGCAGAATATTCCTAGTACAATAGTCTAATGACTTATTGAGATAAAAAGTAAATACTGTATACTATTTCTGACGAAATTTCAAGTCTTTAGACATTCCGAAGGTTACAGATATGGTTAAGCAAATACTTCTACATGAATGAATCTGAAAGCCATGGTATCACCAACAACTCCTATTTGCATTAAGTATTTCTTTATTACATTAGAGTAGCAATCTTTCCTCTTTATTACATTAGAGTAGCAATCTTTCCAGATGGTATTCAGAGAGATGAAAAAAACTGCAGCATGGAAAAACAGGAAATGGTAATCATCTTACAGACTGTTTTAAAATTATAAAATTAAAAATCCAGAGGTTGGTCTTATTTTATGCTTATGGAAGCGTATCTACTATCAGAGCACTGCCACACTTTGAAAACCTAATCTGCTCTCCTAAATAAACACTGTTAGATGAAAGTTGTCTTTAACTCATATCATGGGCAAAACCAGCTTCACTGGCAACATTAAAAGCAGATGACTGCCAGTACTCATTTTGCTGGCCAACAGAAACCAAAACGCATATCCCTCATTGCAAGCAAGTGCAACTTTGCAACTCGGGAGTCTGAAAGGACTCACTGAACAACAGTGGGTCATCCAGCACACAACTATTTCTGTATTTTGGAGAAAATCAGGAAAAACAGAGGAACATAGCATCAGCTCTAATTTTTGCTCCTGCACAAAGACGGACAGCAAATTTAATCACCAGAAAGTTGCCATGCACACACAAATTATGGCCTTTTTCTTATATACAAACCTGTTATGTATTTCGGCATTTCCTCAGAAACACTCTGGCGTCCTGCTTGCCATCCTCCTCTTCCTCTGCCTCTCTCTCCTTTATTTTGCCCTTTTGGAAAATACTGGTCTTTCCTGTAAGAAGGCCCAGAGGACTGATTCGAAAATTTCTGCTGCTGATACTGCTGCTCAGAACGAACATCTCCTGGAGGGTTTAGAGATAAAAAGAGGCAACAGAAATCCAAAGCAGTCTGAGTAACTGATAACTGTAGAGTCTTTCCTCATAAGATTGCATTGTACACTCCTCCTATTGTATTTAATATATGCACCTGAAAAAGCCATCAGAAATCAGAAGAATTAAGTTCTTTTTTACAGGAAGAAATAAAAGCACTGCATTGCCCTGCAGCAAGCCCGCAATAGAGTAACTTTTGCACATTCTGAAAATGGTACCAAATCCAGACTTTGCCTCCAATACTCTACCAGACCAAACAGGAAAGACCTGACTAAAACTGGCCTATGGAACACCAGTAGCAATTTTTACTATTGTCTAGTCAGGGTTTTAGTACCAATTAGCAACACTAGTATTTTTCCCTCTTGTCTTTCACATAAGCAAATGTATTCTTGTCTCACTGACATGTATTTCTGTTAAGCAATAAGGTAAGCATGATACATGTATATTGGTGCAGTAAGCTATTTTTCTGGTACAGACATTTAAACCAATACTGAAATTAGATAACTAAAGCCTACAGTAAGCCTCCTAAAGTACAGAAATACCCTTCAAAAGTGATAAGCACCTAACAGTACTTGAAGTTTAAGAGGGCCTTGAAGTCCGTATTTAAAGCTTAGTTTATGTCCAACCTATTCAGTTAACTCTTGGTTAGGATTTCTAGTACAACTTAAGATATGATTCTCAGGCAGCTCATGCTGGACAACTGGACCAAAAATGGCCAAGACAGCCATTCCCACCACTCCACCCACTGCATCAAGATGAGTGCTTGAAGGAACATGGGGCCTTACAGCTCAGGGAGCTCCTCTAGTGAAAATCGACCTGTGCGTCAGGAGAAATGTGGCAAGGTATTTAAAAAAATCAGTTTTCAGGTTGATCACCTTCTTAAACAAGTATACCACATTGTCCCAAAAATGCTATCATCGGCAGGAGGAACAGCCAGGAGCAGATTCACCTCCAGCAGACCCAGTTTATGTGAACTTAAAATGTCAAGGAATCTCCTTTTTCCACTTCAAATAAGCATGAAGCTGAAGTTTTATGTTCAGTAGCAATGCTGTTGCAGCACCGATGCAGCCACACATCATGCAGAACTACAGTAATTCAGATGAAAAAATAACTTGGGATGAAAACACAAGTTAGTTTATTATGGGGAATAACTCCCTGATCTGGGCTCTCCACATGGCTGAGAGCAGCACTGTCTAGACAGTGAGGTGAAGGTGAGAAAGAAGTGGGAGAGATGGATGCTGCCTCAGTCAGCAAATCTGTGTAGACCTGCAGCCCAAGTCAACTGTGGGACAGCAGTTAGCTCATCTCACGAAAACACCCTTTCACTATCAAGTTAGCCTAAGAATGGAGGAACTATTTTAATCAGAAGATGGAAGAGTGTTTTAAAAGACAGTCACTGACTTAGTAACTTGAGAAAAACTAAGTTATTTCAGGCACCATGTAGATCCGTATTTTTATGACTACTATTTAGATTTTTTTCTTTCCTGTTTCTACAAAATAGCCCTATAAAACCCAGATACCAACTAACACTACAGAAGAATGTTATATGGATGAAAATGCATGCTATTCAACAAGACAGAAAAACTTAACCAGAAAATGTTAGAAGTTCCCTGCAACAAATACAGTAAGAAAAACGTGTTTAATCTGGCAGTACTCCTGTAACGATACTCCAAAATCTTCAGACGGGGTTGACCATAACTTGCTACGTCGTTCTGTCTGCTTAGGAATACTTCAGTCACCTAAACATACAGCGACATTCGAGCATTGTTTTGTTCAACCACAAAGACGTAATTTGCCAACTTCTGAAGGCCTCACAGTAACAGGTCCTGCTCTGATGTATGCTTTTTTTTTTTTTCCTCAGAAACAATATAGGTAACAAAACAAAATCATGAAAGGGGGACGTGGGTGTAGAAATCAAAGTCCAGTTGGAGCATACAGGATGCAGATCGAGACAGGCAGATAGGAGGGCCACGAAGATGATCAGAGGGCTGGAGCACCTCTCCTATGAGGAAAGGCTGAGAGAGCTGGGGCTGTTCAGCCTGGAGAAGAGAAGGCTCCGGAGTGACCTTCTAGCAGCCTTCCAGTACCTGAAGGGGCCTACAGGAGGGATGGAGAGGGACTTTTCACAAGGGTGTGTAGTGATAGGACAAGGGGGAACAACTTTAAACTAAAAGAGGGCAGATTTAGATTAGATATTAGGAAGAAATTCTTCACCATGAGGGTGGTGAAACACTGGCCCAGGTTGCCCAGAGAAGCTGTGGATGCCCCCTCCCTGGCAGTGTTCAAGGCCAAGCTGGATGGGGCTTTGAGCACCCTGGTCTAGTGGAAGATGTCCCTGTTCATGGCAGGGGGGTTGGAACCAGATGATCTTTAAGGTTCCTTCCAACCCAAATCATTCTATGACTCTATGAAAAAAGCATCTGGCATACACGCGGACAGGACCCTTCAGTCTCCAGCTGCAAAGGTTACCTGTGCACATAAACGCCCCAGCAGTGAGGTAGCAACGCTGCCATTTTAGGGAGGCGCCTGGCTGCCTCCTGCCCATGCTCCTCCACAGACAGGGGAGCCAAAAGGCAAATTGTCTGGGCATGTTGATCTGATGGAAAAACAGTGCGTCTATCCCAGGGGCAGCAGGCTAAACCCGCTCCTCCTGCTGCTCCCAGGTCCGGCAGAAAGAGAAGGGAGGTCACTGGCCGGGGTGTGACATTCAGGTTCGTTTTAAAACTAGTAGCCGCAGCGGGTCTGCAGGGATTTGTTGCGCAGTCGAAGGGATGACGCAGAAAAACGTGCATTAAGGAGAAGCATGGCTGAAGGGGGCAAAGCCCACGGGTGTTCCCGCACCGGGCACGTCTCGCCGGCCGCCGGGGCTGAAGAGATGGGGACGCCCGGCCCTGGGGGGGGACAC